CAACATCCCGCTTAAGCTGCAGATAAGAAGTGGGGTATGTCAAGCAAATCCCCCCTCAGGGCCTTGGCCTCAGGCTGTGCCAGCTGTGTTCATGCCCACTTTTTTTTTTAAGATTTTATTTATATTTATTATGTATACAACATTCTGCTTCCATGTATATCTGCACACCAGAAGAGGGCACCAGATCTCATAACGAGATGGTTGTGAGAATGTGGTTGCTGGGAATTGAACTCAGGACCCCTGGAAGAGCAGACCGTGCTCTTAACCTCTGAGCCATCTCTCCAGCCCTGTTCATGCCCACTTTGAGTAGTCAGAGTGAAGACCTCATGTGAAGCATTCGAGGCCAGAGACCTGCCCATAGTGGACCAAAGATAGATGAAGCTGATAATAGGACTCTACTGTTCCCACTCCCAACTCTGCTTCTTCTGATTAAAAACAAAACCAAGCTTTAGGTTTTTTTTTTTTTTTTTTTTTTAAGATATATTTACTTATTATGTATAGAGTGTTCTGCCTGCATGTACCCTGCACACCAGAAGAGGGCACCAGATCTCATTACGGATGGTTGTGAGCCACCATGTCAGTGCTGGGAATTGAACTCAGAACCTCGGGAAGAGCAGCTAGTGTTCTTAACCTCTGAGCCTTCTCTCCAGCCCAAGCTTTAGGGTTTTTTGTTTGTTTGTTTGTTTTGGTTTTGGTATTTTGAGACAGGGTTTCTCTGTATTGTTTTGGAGCCTGTCCTGGAACTTGCTCTGTAGACCAGACTGGCCTCAAACTCACAGAGATCTGCCTGCCTCTGCCTCCCGAGTGCTGGGATTAAAGGTGTGCGCCACCAACGCCCGGCTTGAGACACTTTAGGCTTTTTGAGACAGTGTCTTGTATAACTCAGGCTGGCAGTGAACACAGTACCCTCCTTCCCCACTTCCCAAACAACCGCTGGATAGAGCTGTGCACCTGGCTTCTTTCAATGTTTAAAAATATTAACTAAAGCCAGGCATAATGGCACACACCTTCGATCCCAGCACTTGGGAGACAGAGACACGTGGATCTTGTAAGTTCAAGGCCAGTCTGGTCTACAGAGCAAGTTCCCAGCCATCCAGAGAACTTACACAGTAAGACCTTGTCTCAAAACAAAAACAAAAAACCCAACTAAATAATAGTGGACACTATCAAATACACCATTCCAGGCATAGTTTTACGCACTTGACATATATTAATTGACATTCATCTTCACACGTAATTTCCACTTTCGTCAATTAAGAAATTATGTTTGTACTGCTTTCTAGTTGGAAGTTTCCACTCCAGTGACTGCTGTCTGCAAAGGGCCTAGAAGATAGGGGAGGTACTGGATTGAACCCTGATTGTAGTCTTTCATATACTATTACTAGTGTATGGCCTTAGGCAAGCTATCTAACCACTCTGTTTCTTCATTTGAAAATAGAGCTCTTGGCAGCATCTGCCTTCTTAGGTTGCCAGGAAGAGCAAATGAGGAAGGAGCTGCTGTCTCTGTAAGCTGGGTCTGAGTGAGCCCAGTGCTCCGGCCGTGCCTCCTCACCCTGTGAATGCGGTGCCATCCCAGAAGGTCTGGTCCATCCTGAGTGGGCACAAGTGCATGCCAACTTGGAGCACAGGTGAGGCCTGGCAGGAGAAGGTCTTGGATCCGAGAAACAATGAGAGGACCCTGAAGGTCTCCAGGTCCCAGCTCCAGTGTATAGCTTCTCTCTGGGGACAGGACCACCAAACCCCTAAGGCAAAAGACAGGGAATCAGAGAGCATTTCAGGTCCCTGCCTGTGTATCCTCTCCTCTGATAATAAACCCACCCACAGTACCTGATCCCGGAGCAGGTACAGAGGGAGACCAACGAGCCAGGGTGACCCTGCACTCCTCCTTGGTAGCAGCAGTTTTCCTACAGCAGGGAAGCCATGTTAGCTAGCACCAGCTCACAGAGAAGACCAGATAACCGTGGATACTTGCTAGCAAGGTATCCCCCAGTTCCTCCAGGACTGCCACCCTACCATCATCCTTCCCTCCTTTGCCCAGGCCTAAAACAACATAAGAGGGCCCGACTTACCAGATTGTGTCCCTCACTGACTACCCGAGTGCCATCAGGCTGGTACCACACCAGAGTTGGGCGGCCAGGGACTAGATCTCTGTGACAAAAGGAAGGCAGTGTCTGAGCCACTTCCTAGGGTATTGCAGTGACAAGCTAGTGAGGTGAGTGAAGCTGTTAGGAACCAGGTAACGCCACCAAACTCCTTAGTTCCTCTAAGGCCACAGAGTCTAAAGGTTGGGCTATTGTCTCCTTCAGCCTTTCTGTGTTCCAATATGATTTTTGAGATATATGATTGAACACAGGAAAGTTAATTTGATTTCTCTGGGCTTTAACTTCTTTATATGTTAAATAAGGATAACTACATATAGTATCTATATGTAGGATTGTTATGAAGGAGTCCATACTTAGTACCTGGTGCATAATAAATGTATGTAAATTATTTTCCATAATAAATGTATGTAAATTATTCATGTCTGCCACCTTACCTGTTCTGTATAAGCTCCGAGATATGACTCTCACCATCCAGCTCCAGTTTGATCCTCAGGGTCTCAGGCAGACCAGTCTGTGGACACCAGAGGCATGTCACCTCCACCAGCTCTACCCACAGTTCCTACCTTTTATAACTAGAAAACCTCAGGCTCTCAGGAGAGTACCAATGATTAGGTCACTGGTTGGGGGATCCCAAGGGAGGGACCAGGAAGCCCTGCCTGGACTGGGGCATTGTTCTAGGGGCTTGTGTGGGGAGGTCAAGGAAGGCATCGAAGCCACCCCTTCTCGGCTTCCTGCCCAGAGAGGAAGCACCATGAAGGACCCGGCACAGGCCCCAGCCCTTCCTCTGACTCAGCTGCAGAATGTGTGTGTATGTGTGTGTGTTGGGGGGATGTCTGTCTGTCTGTCTGTCTGTCTATGTGTCTCTTTCTGAATCTTTCCCTACTGAGAAAACAAACAGCATGAGATGAAAGGAGGAGGTTTGGTGTCACTCTCCCAGTGGGCATGGATGGACTGGCTGGGACAGAGGCAGACAGATGTATGAGTAGAGGGGAAAGGGGTTAATGTAGCCAGGTGCTGAGAGAAAGCAGCTGGACCCTGATGGACCTATTACAAGGTCTGTTCACTGGCTGTATAGGTAAACTTTGGCCTCAAGACAACGTGAAGTGTGAGAAAATATTATTAGCAGGATGGAACTCACCTGAAGCACTTCTGCTAGGCTAACCGTGGGGCTGTCCTGAACGACCTGCCTCTCCAAGGATCCATTCAGGGGCCTCTCTGGTTTGGCTTGCTGCTCCTCCTCAGAGCCTCCTGCAGGGTCCCAGAACATCCTAAGAGATTGCTGAGGGAATCCTTGGCAAAGCTGCGGTGACTGGTGTCCACCAACCACCAGCACATCAAGGCCTAACAGTGACTTAAGGGCTCCTGCACTGCATGCTGGGATTTGAAGGATGATACTGAAAATCCCGTTTCATCCACAAGTCTCTAAAGAAAGTTCAGCTTAGCCAGTTTGCAGCCCCTCCTTGTCTCCCTCTGGCCAATCCCAGATTCTCGCTGGAACCCTCCCTGTTCCCATCCCTTCTCAATCACACCCCCCACCCAATCAGGAATGCGCTTTCTTAGGACTGGGAGAAGCCTTATGGCGGGGTGCCCACTTGCCCTTCCTTTCCCTCACAGAAGAGATGCTGGGAACGCCCATTTCTGGGTGAGCAGTGCAAACACTCCGACCTCCCTAAACAGCCTTGATGCCCAGTTAGGCGCACCCAACAGCCTCCGCTTCCTCCGCCAGCACCCCCCAACAATGGCCCTCGCCCCTCCGGACACTCCACCCCCGCCTACCCTCTCGGCCCCCAGCCCAAGACAGCAGCGGGAAGTGAAAGTTCCAAGGAGGAGTTGGTGTCCCAGCCTCTTTCCTGGCAAGTGCTCCCTCCCCTGGCTCCTCCGGGGCCCCTCCCGCTCCTCCAGGCTTCTGGTGGCCACCGCACTAGGGTGAGCGGCGTTGGCCGCCCAGATGTGGATGGAATGAACGGCTGGAAAGCTTCCTCCGCCAGCACCCCCCAACAATGGCCCTCGCCCCTCCGGACACTCCACCCCCGCCTACCCTCTCGGCCCCCAGCCCAAGACAGCAGCGGGAAGTGAAAGTTCCAAGGAGGAGTTGGTGTCCCAGCCTCTTTCCTGGCAAGTGCTCCCTCCCCTGGCTCCTCCGGGGCCCCTCCCGCTCCTCCAGGCTTCTGGTGGCCACCGCACTAGGGTGAGCGGCGTTGGCCGCCCAGATGTGGATGGAATAACTGGCTGGAAATAATCCTTTTCACTAAAAGCCCACGAGCCGTGCCTATTCCGGGCACTGCACAGAGTGGAACTGTCAGCTAGGCCCTAGAGAGACGAAGACGTCAGTCCTGGAAACGGACTCTTTCCATGATTCTGAGCGGCGCTGGGCAGGCCCCTGAGTGCCGGAGTATGAGAGCGTCAGCGGGGGTAACTCAGGACTTCTGGACAGGGACGCCAGCAGCAGCAGCATCCTCCTCCTCCCTTCTCCATGCGCTGACCAAATAAGCAGCCCTAGGCCTTGGTCAGCAAACCAGGCTGGCTGCGCGCCAGTTAGGCTCCAGCAGACCCTAGCACCCCAACGCCTCCGGGTTTCCTTGTACCTCTTCCCCGTCACCCCTTGGACCCACCCCCGCCTGGGAACTCACCTATATTTGGGAGCGGCGGGGGGGGCCGAGGGCTGCCCCCGCCCAGGAGGCCCAGGGCA